ACATCTTGACATTTTGTGTATTTTTTTTGCACCTGTACTGGCCTGTTCAAAAATACATTTGAGGGGACCAGCCGAGTGGTTCAGTTGGTTAAGAGCGCGAGCTCTGAGCAACAGGATCACCAGTTTGATTCCCACATGGGCCAGTGAGCTGTGCCAGAGTTGAGCTGCTGCTGAGCTGCCAACAGGTGGCAGGATGGCTCAGCTGGTGAGAGCTCATGCTCCTAATAACACGGTTGCTGGTTCAACTCCCACATATGATGGTGGGCTATGCCACCTGCAACTAAGATTGAACACGGCACCTTGAGCTGAGCGACCGCAAGCTGCCAATGGGTGCCCGGGTGGCGAAAGGACGTGGAGCTGAGCTAGCTGCGCCCTCCACAACTAAGAATGAAGGACAACAACTTGGCTGTTCCCCTTCTCTAATTCCCAACACTGTTCCTCTTCCCCAATGCCCCAATTTAAAAAAAAAAAATCTTTAAAAAAAATACATTTGAAGCATTTTCAAAGAAGCATCTTTGAAAGTTAAATCCTTTTTATCTAAACAATGTATTTTTAGTCTCCTTTACTCAAATAGCTTATAAAACTCTAAGATGGGAAACAAAACAAACACAGCTAAAATGGCATACTACAAGTCAATATAAAAAACAAAGCAAGAATTTTAGCAGTGAGCATAAAAACCTCAAATTGTATTTTAAAAGAACTATTAAATGGATGTCAACAATACATATATACAGTAAGTATATTTTCATAAGCCTTAATTATAATTTTTTTCCCTTTTCAGTTCCCTTTACAATGTTCTTAAAATTAGTCTCTCTTATTTAGGCATTAGGTACATGTCCCACTAAGCCATACCTATTATTCACCATCATTTAACAAATTACTTTCCTTATTCAGCTCAAGAGAGAACACTTATTTTCAGCTCTTCTTTGCAGATGTTGAATTTTGTATATAACTATGTATTATTATTTCAGGGTTTCATATATGCTTTTTTTAAATTGAGATATAATTGACATATAACATTATATTAGTTTCAGGTATACAACACAATGATTCAATAACTGAAATTATATGAGTTGTTACTTCCTAAATATTATTCGTACACAGTACTAGGCCCTGAAAATCAGAGAAATAGAAGACATAATCCTATTCTTAAGAAGTTTACAATCCACTATCATTCTGTAGGTCTCAAGAAAAAAGATAATCGTACTGTAGAAAACAATCTCAGAACCGGCATCCAAATGATCTGGTATTCTACCCACTCTCTGTCCTCTCTGATGCTAAGTATTCTTGAATAACGCAGGTTATTTCTCAGCCTCACTGTCATCTGGAAGATGAAGGGACTGATCTAAACGATCTTTAAGGTCTTTTTTGGCAAGAAAATCCTATTACTTTAATCTGATATATAATTTATGCTATGTATAAAAGCTGTTCCATGAATGACAAACAGGAAACTTAAATAAACATAACCACAATTTATTTTAAACAGGAATTATTTAAATTTTTCTCATGTTATTTTCATCAAGTAGCTACAGTTTCAGAGCTTACTGTTTTTTCCAATACTAGCATGGACACACTTTAAAAAGACAAAGATTCTGCACCTTACATCCCAATAGCAGAGTATCCTTTACACTTGCCCCATAATATTCAGGAAAAAAGATTCTATAAAACTTGTACAACTGTGGTTCTCCAACTGCAGTCTGTGAACATATCCAAAGGTCTGTAAATTTTCTCTAATAATTTTTTAATGTTATGTTTTCATTTCAAAGATGGCCTCAAATATTAATATAGGCATTTTATCATTGAAAATTTTCACAAGATGTTAATGTTTGTGTTCAATCAAGTGATGCCAAATAGTACCACTTTAATTGTCAGGAACTAATGAGAACAGAACAATGGCAGAATTTAAATGTAAATGTAGTCATGCCCAGGTGAGGGCAACATGAGGTCATCCTTCCCAAACAAAGATTTTGCAGTAGTTCAAACAGAGAAAAGTGGTGAGAAAGTTCAGTCATCACATGAACTACAGTATATATCAGGGGTACCAAAAAAATGTATACACATGACTTGTATTCATCTTTTGTTATCAGTATATATTGAGTATTACAATTTTAATTCAGGTTTTTCTTACTTAAAATGTGTATACATTTTTTTGGCACCGTGTGTGTGTGTGTGTGTGTGTGTGTGTGTGTGTGTGTAAAATTCAAAAGAAGCTGTCCAGAAGTTAATGTTTATATTGCAAGCAATTATTTAACTTAGCAAATTATCATCTATAACATTAAATTAATTAAATAGTATTGTGTTGTTTGTAAATACAACCCACTTTATGGTTTCATAAGTGTGATTTAATATAGAGTTATTAGCTAGTTTTATAATTCTATATATTTCTGTGATATTATAATAAAACTGAAGTCAGCAGTGGGGGGTTCCATGAAAATACTACTTGCACATAAAAGGGGTCAATGCCTTAAACTAATTTAAGAAAACACTGTTTTTGAGAGCCGGCCAAGTGGCTCAGTTAGTTAAGAGCTCGCTCAAGAGCTTGAGCTCTGTGCAACAGCGGTTCAATTCCCAGCCCGAGATGAACTGCTGCTGAGCTGCCAACAGGTGGCAGGGTGGCTCAACAAAAAAAAAAAAGAAAAGAAAAGAAAGAAAGAAAACACTGTTTTTGAGCAGACTGCTCTCTTACCCTCCCTCCAAATCCCTTAAACTACTGGTAGAATCTAAGGTCCTGAGTGTAAGAAGAAAGAAGGGTCCAGATCAGGGGTTGGCAAACTATGTCCCACGGGTCAAATCTGACCTTCCATCTGTTTTTGTAAACAAATCTTTATTGAACCACAACCATACCCATTTGTCTACAAATTGTTTATGGCTACTCTTATCAAACTTACTGAAATACAGTTGTTCATAATATTCCCTTATTATTCATTTAATGTCTGTAGGCTCTGTAGTGCTATCCCCCTAAAATTATATTTTCTTACTATTATTGTAGAAATAAATGAACAATAAAGATAGGGTCAAAATAGAATTAAAACTAAATATTAACATTTAAGTTCAATACAAATAGGTATATATAAGATTAATTCAAGTCCAAGAAGAAAAGTAGTATATGCAAGTCATACATTCAAAAATATTTACTGAGTACCTACCACGTGTTGGGCACTATTCCTGGTGCTAAGAATAAAGCAGTGAACAAAGTAGACAGAGACCCTTTAACCACTCTACCGTAAAGGGGACGCCCAAACAATAAATGTAAATACTTAATGCTTGAAGGTAAAAACTGTGATGGAGAAACATAAAGCACAGCAAGAGAGATGAGGAGGCAGGGAGTGTAGTTAATACTTATATGGTCAGGGAAGTCCTCACTAATAAAGTGACAGGAGAGAATAAATCATATGTATATTTAGAGGAGAAATATTCTGGGCCGAGGAACAGCAAATGCTTCTTGAGGCAAAAGTGTTTGTTGGCATGTTTGAAAAATTACAAGGACACACAAGGTTTGCTAATTTGAAAGGTATAGTATAATGAACCAGACAACAACATACTTTTTCAGACACTTAATCCCATATGAAGCCACCTATTCAAAGAATACCATAAAGACTTAACGTTTACAATTTTCCATTTAAATTAGGTAATTAGGCTAGTAAATTTCTGACATTTCCTAAAGGAAGTATTTTTCAAAAGCATTGTAAAACCAACACTTACTTGTCACAAAACCCAATACCATACTGTGTTATATAAGTACATATATTCTGCACTTACCTCCAAACAGAAAAACAAAGGCAAAGCCAGACAGCTGTAGGGATACTAAGTACCTATACTTTCAGAGGGCTCTATTAAAACAAAGAATAGAGAGCCCCTTTCTCACTCAGGAGAATAAATTACCTCAAAAAGTATTGAAAAGCATTGTCTACAACTACTACTTAAAGCAAACAAACACAACTTTTCAAAAAGTCAATTTTTCATATTTTACACAGGATTAAGTCATGAACAATGTAAATTAATAAAACAGGCATACATACTTAACATTTCTACTCAATCAAGTAACTCTATGAAATATTTTTAAGTTCCCTTATCTCCTTCACCATGAAAAACGTGGATTTGAATTTGTCATTTTAAGCAGCTACAATAAAATTTAAAAGATGAGCATCATCCGGGATAAACTTTACAATACTTGACTTCATCATGAATTACATCATGTAATTGAAAATATTTATATAAAAGCCATTAAAATATGTACAACCTTTTATATGTCGTATTTTCTCCCTCAGCTTCTTGCTTGGTTTTATAAATCTCAAAGGCTGTGTGAGAGTTTACACTATTGGTACATATTATTTATGTTATAAAGATCCAAGATTTTAATTTTCCAAACACAAATCTAAAAATTATAAAATCATAACTAAATCTTATCTTCCTTTAAGGAATATTCTTACCTTCTGTTGAGGTGATGCATGACTAAAATGGAAAAGCCTGACAAATATTAAATGTTCATGAGGCTGCAGAACAAGCATAACTCTCCCCCACCCTACTAATGGGAATGTAACTTGGTGCATGTACCCTGTAGCTTACCTACCACAGACCCTGGCAATATATTCTCATCTTCAGATTTCCTGATCATAACTCCCACTACTGAAAGTCATGCCAATAGTAACGGGCTGATCACTTCATAAATTATACAACTGTCTAATCACTATGTTGTACACCTAGAACTAATATAATATTGTACGTCAAGTGTAATTTAAAATTTTTTTTTAATTAATTTAAAAATATTTTTTAATAAATAACTCTGCTCCCGGCTCAAATTGTGAAAAAGATAAAATAATCTCAATAGATGAACAAATTTAAGATGGTGATATCTGCTATAGCAATTAGACTGTTCTACCTTTAGAAAGTCATGGTTTACATTTCCTTCTAATTATATTACTTGATATTATAAATCAGTGAACTTAATATAAAAGAAAAGAAAAAGGTAAAAAACTAAAGAGAGGAAAAGAAAAACTTACTGGGATTGAGAATTCCTCAGCCAAATATTTCAAGGAGGCTGCTGCTTTTGCCAAGAACTTGTTCCTTTCTCTCATGTTGCCCTGAAGCTGTGTATCAAACTCCTTCCTCACCACAGAAGCAACAGAGTCAATAATCACAAGTTTAACTCCTTTTGAAATAATTTCTTCTTCTAAAGATTCAATCCTGTAAACACAGAATTTGTAAAATAGTGGAAAAATTTAAGATACAATAAAAAGAAGTTATTGCAAAGGTTAACCAACTTAAAAACAACAATAACAGATTGTTCTTCCCTAAGTTACAGTGATGATTAGAAGCATTCAATAAACAAAATTTATTTTCATATATCTTTTCTACACATATTGCACTGTTTGGGAAATAAACCAAAATGTTTCCATTTAGTTTCTTTCCTTTGTTCCTCCTGTGATACTGCTAAAGTTCCAAATTTAGGGTGAAACTACTTATGGTAGGAATCTCCAAACTGGCCCGCATTTAGTCCCATCTCCTGGTATTCACACCCTGTGGAGTCCCTACCATTTTTTTTTTTTTTTTTTTAGAGCAAGAGAACAAATCCACTTTATTTACTTTTCAGTAAGTTTAAATCCTTGAAGGGTACAGCATTACATGGATTCTGGGTCCAATGGTCTTAGTAGGAAGGTTGCTTCGGAATTTGGCAGGAACCATGCTACTGTTTCCATGAGCACGAGTTACCTTGTCCCCGATTACTCTGGTTTTGTTTGGTTTGCCACCAGAAGTCACTGTGTTGTTCCTTGCCTTGTACACGTAAGCACAGCTCTTGCCGACATAGAATTCAGTTAGCATAGACACCTTCAATTTTAAGAAGAGCTGTGGCTCTCTCTGGTTTTGGAGACCCCGCTTATAGCCAGCAAAAATTGCCTTGGACTACCGCCTTCCAGACATATTTGTCATTTTTAGAAGTCTTATTTCCAGCAGGCCTCCACAGCCTCCAAGATGGGGGGGAGGGGGAGAACCCTGCCACATTGTACTAGGGTTGGTCTGCGTGACCAGTAAGTAACATATGACAAAACGATGGTACATCACTTCTGAGAGTAGGATATAAAGGACTACAGCTTCCATCGTGGGCTCTCTCTCACTTGCCTACTCTCTCAGATTACTCACCGGTTGGGGGCGGGGAGGGACGCGCAAGTTGCTGTGCTGTCAGCAGCCCTACGGAGAGGCCCACATGGAGAGGAACAGAGGCCTCTGCCTAACATCCGGGAAGGACGGGAGGCCTCCCAGCAACTACATGAGTGACCTTGGAATTCTCCAAGATTCTCTAGCCTCCAGTGAGCCTTGAGATGACTACAACCCTGGACAACAGCTTGACTGCAAGCTCTTGAGCAACCCTGAGCCAGAAACACCTAGCTAAGCCACTCCCAGATACCTAATCCTCAAAAACTGTGTGCGATATGATTCCTGTTTTAAACTGCTAAACTTTGGGGTAATTTGTTAATGAAACAACAGATAATTAATACACCAATTAATTAAGTCTAAAACATTTTATTTGTTTAATTTTTATTTTCAAAGAAATACTGGGCCAGCTGAGTGGCACGTTGGTTAGGAATTGGCTTGGGACGCCAGCTCTGAGCAGCAGGGCCCAGTTCAGATCCCACATGAGGGCCAGTGATGCTGCGCCCTCTACAGCTAAGATGGTGAACAACAGCTCGACCTGGAGCTGGGCTGACATGAGTCGCCGGTGACGGCTTAGGCTGCAGTGGGGCTGGCTGGCAGCTGGCATGTGCTTTTGTGAGCTGCCATGAGCCACCGTGAGTGGCCGTCCAATGGCCGGCGAGCGACTGCCTCAGCCGGGAAGAGCACAATGATAATACCAACATGGGCCAGTAAAGTGACGTCCTCCACAACTAGACTGAAGAACAAAAGGACAGCAACTTGTCTGATCCCCTTCCCCGATTCCCCAACACTGTTCCTCTCCCCCAATTCCCCAATAAAATCATTAAAAAAAAAGAACTCCTTCAACCAATAGGCTATAGTAAATAAAGAACACTGAAATAATTATTTCCCATAATTCTAATATGTGGGGTCTTTTTATCACCCAGAAGCTGAAGACATAAAAAACAAAACATAAGTCTTCAAAGTATTACTAAAATACCAAAATCTAAAACGATGTACCTTTGTAGAACTTCATCACAGCTGAGTTCCCGATAAAGATGAACTTTACTGCTTGTCAAAAGTAATTTTTCTTCAGTGTTAAAATATCTGGGAAAACGAGATTCTGCTATCTCAACCAGCCTGTGAGGGAAACAACAGCATAAGTGAAAACAGTCAATGTTTAAGGCCACATTGCTGAACGTCTAGTGAATTTTGCTTAGGAAACTCATAAGCCACAAATAACACTAGAACAAAAGCCTTATCAATAGAACAGACATAAGCAAAATGAATTAATATGTATACGCTTTCAGAATGTAAGCCGACCTTTATAAGCACCAAGAGAGATGAGCAGACGGCATGAGACCAGCAAGGGCTTTTAGATCTCATCGAATGTGACACAAGCAACAATGTCTCTGAGGTTTATCTTTTGGGGAACAAATATGCTTTTTATAAATGATATTTTGACTAGCAGTTATAAAATAAGTTTAGTAAATAAGAAAAATGCTTGCATTTTCATGAATGACCTATAATTGAACATACATAGGATATAATATTATCATTCTAATAATCAGTATCAGTAAGTCTCCATGCCTCAAACCAGAAAACTTAATACACACAAAATAAATGCTATCCAATAGTTCCTTGGTAAACAGGAAATTATTTTCTAAATAAATGAGTGTTGTCCAATACATCCTTCATCAACAAAAAATGGTATTTCTAAACACTGAACTCTGACCTCAAAGCTTAGATCTAATGCACGGGGTAGGCTGAGCATAGGAGAGTGACAAGTTGAAACAGATTCAACTACCATCATCAATAGGAGAAGATATGGAGAGCAGTACTAGAAATTTCAAATATTTCTGGTTAAAAATGTAAATATTTGAGAGTAACTGTCTTCTATTTAAAATGATACTTTATCAGCCCTGTACTTAACCAGCCAAGGGCGACTGGGAGGAAAGACTGTAAACATTAAAACCAGCCTGTATTTTATGTTCCATTTAAAGACAGAGGAGTACAAAAGAACACTATTTTCATTTCTACATAGTTAATGAATTCCAAGAAGAGGCTAAGAACTTTAAATAGATAAACAAAATAAGTTCCTCATGTATGCCATTATCAGAAATGAAAGAGAAAAATCTAAAACAGGAAGAGAGAAAAATAAAACTAGTCAATAACATGTTTAAGAATATTCTGAAAAAACCTGAAAAGAAAAAGCCTCATTAGGTTGAACAGGAAGAGGAAAAATTATTTTAGGAATATGGAATAATATGTGTAAAGGGTGAGAACAAAATGAATTAAAAGTGCTTGAGAAAGGCATAGGGACTTTTAAAAAAGGAAATGAGGTAAGTGATGAAAGCAAGAAGAAATGAGATGGCATTGGCAAAGGCAGAACAGGCACATTTTGAGGGTTTGGGAAAATGTATAAATTTTTTTTATTAGGGCAACTATTGGCTGAGTTTAGTGCTAGTCAGAGAAATTAGCTAAAAAGCTCTGGCACTTGGAACCCACTGATTTTTAATAGGATGAGCATGATAACATCTACCAGAAACATGAAAGTTTTTCAAAATTTGGATGCCCAGTTGATTAGGAACCAGACTGAGAGTACATAACTCCCTGGCAACAATAACTGAACAGCTGACAGGCAATAATTTTCTACCTCCGATACTAGGCTGGATTTCAACTAGTGGCTGGAGTGGTGAAAAGCTCTGGAACTTATTATAATACTGCTCTCTCAATTCATTAACGTCCCTCAGAAGAAGACAGCCATTGCGTGGACATGAACTTACTTTATTCATAGTTACCATGCTCTCGTCTTTCCCTAATGCTTTGGTGGAAAGCAGGATTAGTGGCAGTATCTCCAACACCATGAAAAGTAGAGGGCACAACTCTTGCTGATGACAAAATTCACTTCTAGATATTAAAGATATCGGATACTCCATTACTAGCCAATGGGAGTATTTTATTTCTTACCATCCTAAAAATGCACAATTTATCTGGTTTAGTATGAAATAAACTAGGAGAGACTTACCAAGTTAAAGAACCATTAGAGATGGCAGTGGGAAAATAAAATCTAACAGGGCTTTTGCCAACAGGTTTAAGCGGGACAGTGGTGCCTTTAAGGTCAAGCTTAATGAGCTTGGACTAACTTAGGGTCAATGACCCCACAAACCTAGGAGTGGTACACAAAGATAAAAACAATAATCATAGTTACCATGCTAAATAACTGTATCGAATGGTTATTTACATACCAATATGCTGTAATTTTCTATAAGTTTCCCCTAATATTATTTTAGAAAAGATATCTTAAAAATATATAAATCAAAATATATGTATATCTAAATGTAGTATTCTATATGCCTCACATTAATCATAGCAATTTCTTATCACAATCTTCATCACAAAGATCTTTGGTTAGAGCCAGCAAAAAAGAAACTATCGTTTGCTTCCAAATATTTATATAAAGTTTGAAAGCAATGCCATCTAGTGGACATCTTTTTTATAGAAAGTATTCCTTTCAAAGGATACACTTTAGATTCATTCATTCGACAAATATTTATTGAGGACCTACTATATGCCAGGCACTGTTCTAGGTGCTAAAGATATGGCAACAAACAACAACACAAAAAAAAAAACCTTCCCTCATAGAACTTACATTCTACTGAGAGAGGCAAAGAAATACAGTATATTATACATCAGGTGATACGTGCTCTCTCTAAAGAAAAGTAAACCAGGATGGGGCAACAGACTGACAGATGGAAGCAAGTGCTACTTTATGTAAGGTGGTCTGGGAAAGCCTCTTTAATAAGGTGACATTTGAGCAAAGGTCTAAGAGAGATGAAAAAGATGAACCATGTGGATATCCAGTGGAATAGCACATAGGAAGAGAGAAATATAGCAAGTGCAAAAGCCCAGGCATAAGATGCCTGGGGTGTGTGAGGAATAACAGAGGCTAATACAGCTGGAACACAGGAAGAAAGAGGGAGAATAAAAGGAACTGGGATCAGAGGGCTAGTCAGGGGCCAAAATCCCACAAGATCCTTAGGTCTGTGGTGTTTTGTTTAGGTTGTACTTAGTAAAATTGGAAGTCATTGACATGACTTGATTTCTTTTCTTTTTAAAGAATCACTCCAGCTATCAAATGGAGAAGAGGCTATAGATGGGGCAAGATCAGCCTAGGGCAGCCCTCCAAATAAAAGATGATGGTGACTTGACCTAGAGAATAGCTCAGGTAACTGGAAGTAACTAAACTCAAGATGTAGTTAAAGAGAGGAGCCGGGAGCCGGGAGGATTTCTGGACTAGTTGGATCTGCATCTGGAAGAATGGAATTACCGATTCACTGAAGTGGAGAGGACTGGATTTGGATCAAGGCTTTTGTTATTAGTTCCCCCTGTTACTTCACAGCTCTTGTATAAAAGGAAAGTTAGAAGCTTTACATTGGTGACCGCATGCCAACTTGAAACAAAACATATGCTTAATGTAAAAAAAAAAAAGAAAGCCTTCCCAAAATTCTAGTTGAAATATCATATCATAAATGTGCTGAACTGCAAAGTTTATGGTTTTTCAAAGCTTCTTGTACATATGTAATATTTTCCAGTTCATTAATTCAATATGTACTTGCTCAGCATTGTGGTATTACTAAATAAAATGTGAATCTATTAGTTTCTTACGGATTCCAGAAAATTCCAAAGTTTTGTTTCAGAAATAATACATACTTATATAACTAATGTCTATTTTCTATCCTAGAAACTCTTCAGGACCTCCCTCCCTACTAATTCACCTAGATTCACAAATAATAATAAGGCAGCTGGAATTGGACTAAGGGAAACCTACCCAGACTCATGAAACCATTGCAAAAAATTGTAAGAGGGAATTTATCTCCTATTTTTTTGGCCCCTGGGTCATTGATCCTGGATTTGTACCAACTCGCAAATAGGTAAGACCACACTGGTATTGCTTTAAGAATCAGCCAAAATCATGGCAGGCCGCTACAAGCCTCCCTCTCGATAAACTGATTCAGGAAGAGCGACCCCCTAAATAGTTTGGTAGGAATTAAAGCGCTCGGCTGTGGGGTGCTTGGCACCCTCGGCACTGGCATGCATACCCAGTACAGCAGCTCCTTTCGATCTAAGGTTGGCTGTTGTTTCCATACAGTACCCATACAACAGGTATCTCTCCTTTGTACACTTAGTCCTAAGTCATGATTTTACATTTTTGTGATTATTTGATCAATGTCTTTTTCCTCTGTTGGACGACATCTCCTTCCTACTATTCAAAGCTTTTCTGATTTCATGACAACTCAGGAATGGCCACTTTTACCTCCTAAAGTTCTAATTCTATACCCTACCCCGCAACTAGGTCCCGACCTCCCAGGGTCCCGACTCCCATCTCTCGCCTCCCCAGATCCCTCAGTTCTCCTCACACTCACCTCCATTTGCAGTTCTAAGGCTCAGCTCTATTTTCCTTTATCATCTTATTTCTCCCAAAGCTTTATTTCAAAAACTTCTATTACTATTTATCATCTATATTACCTTCCTTTTTTACTCTTAACTTCAAGTTCCATCTTTTCTTAAAATTATCTCCAACAGGAATAATATAGTATTCATTCAATTCATGAATCCTGGAATTCTCATAGTTGCCAAAACGTCTATAGACAGATCAGTAGATTAATCTATTTATTCATATTCTCAAGGTATATGCAAGTGCATAGCACGTAAGACTTATCAGATCTTAAGTATAAGTCCAATAGGTAAAGCAAATAAAAACAGGCTTTTTTCGAAATCAATCAGGATTCTGCCTGCTTAGAATTCCTCTCTCCCCAAGGCACTCAAAGGTTGACCAGGCTATATTGCTATCTAATTATTAAATAGTATTGCTTTTAAAAAATGGAACTAATCTTTCCAAAGTGCTTTTATCACCTGCAAAGTGTTTTTTTAAGTGCATTTTAAACTAATTTTTATTTATTCTTCCTCTGTTTTCTCCCTCCTTCTTGATAAACAGATATCTAGCAACTTATTGGCGGAAGTTTTCCATTGTTATCATTTACCCTAAATTCTCTATAGGCAAATCCTTTAAAGTTCCTTCCTAGTAATCCTTCAATTCACTTTCTCGTTTGTACTGATCAGACAGCTGGTTTGTAAGCACAAAATGAGGACGCTACATACAGAGAGCTAAAATACCCTTTTAAGTCTCATATTTTCCTGCTTTATCTCCTAAATCCAGTTGTGGCGGACACTACTAATGACCTACCAAGATCCAGTCCACTTCTTCCTTGCTATGAGAACCGTAATTTGATTCAGTCAGTAATGTTAACCAGCCCCAGGACACTCATCATTTGTTATAACCATCTTTTTCCTCACTTTCCCACCCTCCCTTGAATTTAGGAGTGGCCTAGTGAGAAATCCCGTTACATAGACATGATTGATTAAATCACTGGCCATTGCTGATTAACCAGTTTCCAGCCCCTCGCCCCCCCTCAGAGGGTGGGGGTGGGGGTGGGGGAGAAATGAGGCTGAAAGTTCCAACCTTATAATCACATGATTGGTTCCTCTGGCAATCAGCCCTCATCTGAAACTATCTAGGGGCCCACCAAGAGTCACCTCATTAGCATAAACTCAGGTGTGGTGGAAAGGGGCTAATTATAAATAACAAATTATGCTATTCTCACCTCTATTACTCAGGAAATTCCAAAGGTTTTACAAGCTCTTTTGTCAAGAACCAGGATGAAGACAAAAATATATATTTCTTATTATATCACAATATTCAATGTTTTGATCCATTATATTGTTAGGGTTTGTAATTCGGAGACATTCTATCATTCCTTCTGCATTTATACTGGAATATTTCCATAAAAAGACCTATCTGTTATTCAGCAATACAGTTCACATAGATAAAAAAGAATAGATGTTTGATTTGGATTTCCCTTTTTTTTTTTACTCATTTTCAAAATAATGAGTTGCTTCTCCACAGTCCTCCAAGAGTGATCAATCAGTTGCTTTCATTTCTCAACATTGTAGACTCATGGATTTTAAACGTATTTCACGTGTCCTAATCCACTGTCATTATTATTCCTATGGGTGCTCAATTTGTTTCATCTTTGGCCAGTGGGAACCTCCTCAGGTTGACTCCTGAGTCTTTCTGACACTCCCCAAAGTAGTTTCTAAAAGCTTCCCTTCTATCTGATATGATGTCCAGACTTAATGTAAAATTTCTTGCTCCAGAGCTAGAATCAGCCCTTCCCCGCAAGGAAGCTTCATTCCTTTTAGTAGAAAATGGTATCTGAGTTTCACGTTTTGGGAGTAACACCTGTCCATTCATTTATCAAACATTTTCTGAGCAGTTTTATACGTCAGTCACTAGATTTGGCTTTTAAGATATACAGATATAAGACAAACTCAAACTGCTGACAAACCAATGGCATATACTTAGAAAAAATAGATAACCAAGAGATGTAGGGCAAAGGAAATAAACTCTTGGCAAAATAATCCACTTGGAACTTAATTGGGTCAGGGAACATGCTTTGATTTAAATAGCTTTCTAGAGTGGCTCAGCTGGAGCAGAGCATGAGCTCTGAGCAACAGGGTTGCCGATTCTATTCCCACATGGGCCAGTGAGCTGCGCCTGAGCTGAGCTGCTGCTGTGCTGCCAATAGGTGGCAGGATGGCTCAGCTGGTGAGAGCACGTGCTCCTAACAACAAGGTTGCCTGTTCGACTCCCACATGGGATGGTGGGCTGCGCCCCGCCGCCCCCCTACCTCCCACCCCCAACTAAGATTGAACACAGCACCTTGAGCTGAGTGGCCCTGAGCTGCCTCACAGGTGGCAGGATAGCGACTAGACTTGGAGCTGAGCTAGCTGCACCCTCCACAAGGACAACAACTTGGCTGTTCCCTTCCCCAATTCCCCAATAAAAATCTTTAAAAAAAATTAAAATTAAAAATAAATAAATAGTGTTCTAGAGAGAGCTAAGGGAGAGAGATTGATTCATAATGACATAGTGAGAAAGACTCAGAGGACTATACCTATACTATACCTTGACTAAGAGAACAGAATAGAATCAGTCTCCAGGTATGTAAGCACTCCTGCTTATGAATATGGAACATAGCAGGGAAGGAGAGGAGGCCAGGCTTATCTTCAGGTGTATAGAATTACACAAATGACTAAACGCCTCTCGCATAGAATGGCAAAGTAATCTTTTCTGTCCAAGCATAGATATACTTACTATCAGTGTGTTTCTTACATTTAACACCATATTATTTCAAAAATTAAAGTGAAATACTTCTCAATCAAAATGCTTTGAAAGCTGCAATTTTTCTCTTCACTAATATTTTACTTCCAACTAGAAATTAATTACAAAGCAGCTTACCTTCCATCTTTATTAATTCTCCCTCATCCCCAATGTCCACTTAACATTCCTCCCTCTCTTTCTTGAGCTTCCTTCTTCCTGACTTTCTGCAAAGCACAGCTTATTGAGGAACCCACTCCCTTAAACCAATAAGAAAGGGATGGCAAAGACAAAAAGAAACTGCTTTCTGTGTCAATTTTAAAAGGAAAATTCTTTTAAAACAGTATTTAGCATTCTGTGCTCTCAAAAAAAATAGGTAAATGTTAACTTATTTGAAAATGTTACATGCTATATATAAGTTACAAAACTAAAGTATTATAATGGAAAATAATAAAATCTCCTACCTTTCAGCACTAAATGCTGATTCTGTGTCAATGTACACAACAGCTCCTTCTAATCCTCCCATGTTGGTGGGTAATGTGGCCAAAACACTCATCATTATACAAAACTGAGTTTTTCCACAACCTGGTGGACCTGTAATCTAAAAAAAAAAAAGTTATTTGTGGAAACATCACAACCTAGTCAAAGCAAAATCCTTTAGGAACTTGCCACAGATACAGTCAAACTAACCTGGGTTCCTGGGTTCCCAGAGAGAACATTCTAATACATTCATTGTATATGATGAATTAACTTCTCCCCTATTCATCTGGATTGGTACTAGTTATGTATCATGCTTCAGAAAATTAGAAAATAGTCATTAAATTCATCCTGTGTTCTGTAGTACAGACGAAAAACTTTGTTGGAAAAGTCTGGAGGATTCATTTTATACATTTACAACTTAGAGTTCTATACCTTTTCCTCATCAGACATTATAGAAGAATCTTGAAAATATGTAAGAAGCTTTAATAATCGGTTTAGCATTTACTATGAATTGGCCTCTCAGAATAATTTTGTACTAGTCCCCTTAAAGGCTACTTTGGAGCCGGCCAGGTGGCGCAGTTGGTTAGAGCGCAAGCTCTGAGCAACAGTGTCACTGATTCAATTCCTACATGAGCCAGTGAGCTGTGCCCAAGCTGCGCCCGAGCTGAGCTGCCAACAGGTGGCCAGATGGCTCAGCTGGTGAGAGCACGTGCTCCTAACAACAAGCTTGCCGGCTCGACTCCCACATGGGATGGTGGGCTGCCCCTCCCTGCAACTAGATTGAGAGTGGTCACTGGACTTGGAGCTGAGCTTGCACCCTCCACAACTAAGATTGAAGGACAACAACTTGACTTGGAGCTAACGGGTCCTGAAAAAACAGTGTTCCCTTTCCCCAATTCCCCAACACTGTTCCCTTCTCCAATTCCCCAATAAAATCTTTAAAAAAAAAAAGAAAAGCTATTTTGATCTTTATTCTTAAGAGTAAAGTACAGTAAAACCTTGGATTGCGAATAACTTGGTTTGCAAGTGTTCCACAAGATGAGCAAATATTTCTAATACATTTTAACATGGTAAATGAGCGATGTCTTGCAATATGAGTAGTTTGTTTCCAGAATGAATTATGCTGACAAACCAAGGTATTACTGTATTTAGGAGTGAAGGGTACTGATGTATATGCAAT